TCTTAGACAGTCTGTTAGCACAAATTAGAGTATTTGACATATTTAGTTACAATACATAAAAAATCAATAATAATAACAAGCCCAAAGGCAGCAAAATGAAAAACACAGTGAAGCAGTCCAGTTGAGTCCAGCACTTGTCAGTGGCAAGGGCTCCAATAATGCAAATTTTAAGCCTTAATTGAACTCAGACCTTGATACTGTTATCAGAGGTAGAGAATTTGGCACAGAGACTTAAAAGTGCAATTTGTACCAGGCTGTAAACATGTGTATTTGACTCTAAAGTTTGCTGTTTTAACATAAATGTCTGCAGGGACTGACTTTTTTTTGAGTCTTTTTTAAGTAAGTATGTAAGTTTTATTTATATAGCAACTTTCAAGACAAAGATCACAAAGTGCTTTATAAAAAAAAAAATCTGAGTTTTTGGCGCTTTCACGCTGGCTGCGGTTATTTTTTTAACCCTTGAAGGGGTAGTGATAATCAGGAAAAACTCTACACCCTTCCACCCCCACCCCGTCAGTGTGATTGGACTATAACACTGTTAATCTTACGATGCCCAACACCATTGGCTGAGAGCATGGGTAGGGCCAGTATGAATGTAAATGAGTAGCAGTAAAAAAATGAACTCAGCAGTACTTTGTACATAGTTTAATTATTTCTGTTATGCTTTCTGCTTTTACACCCTTATGCCCCCTTATTTATTTTAAAGCTTTAGTCACTTATTCTTTTTGCACATTAGTTGCATGATTACAGATCAATCAATCGCATATAGCACCATCTAAGATAAAAAGTGTCATTCTGTATAATGAGTGTGTTTACGTTAAGTACTTTAACTCTATTTTGAATGTACAACTTGTGCATTATTAAGCTACTTAAGTAGAATTGTACATTTTATGTTTCAAGTACAAGTCTAAATACTATTTCCACTTTGCAAAATAATAATCCATCTTATTTCTTATGAAATATTCTGATTTGCTACTCCCTCACCCCCATTTCTGTTGCTTCTTCCGTGCCGCCCAATTTAAAAAAGTCTGGAAGCACCCCTGCCTTTAGCTTGTATCGCTGATTTTACAACTGATCCCAAGCAGAGAAAGCAGCATATTTAAATGTTTGTTTAACTTCTAGTAGACCTGTAAAACAGTGTACGCTAATCGTCTTTCCAACATAAAAGAGAAGCAATATTTTTTTAAAAACCCTTTTTATTTTATTAACGCTACGCAAACAAAATATTGTGTCTTACAAGCTTTGCCTTAGGCATCGTGCAGGTGAATGAATGGTGAATGTTGTGATCACCTGCTCTGATGCCTTTGCAGCTCACACACTGCTTTAAGTATTGTAAGTTAAAAATGTTTTGATATCTCTGACAACATTCAGAAAGGCCAGGATAAAACTTATTTTTATATGTGCAAGCATTATGCTTAGCTGGGACCGCATGCTCCAGTGGTTTTAATACCCCATCATTGAGAACCAGCAGCAGACAAGTTGTTTTTATGAACAAGTTATTATGATATCTATAACAGCCCTCTGACTCCATTATGTTTACATGGAGCTCAACAGTATTAATAACACTTTATTTAATCTGTCACATAAAGTAAGTGGCATGATTACAAACAGCTACGATAACTGTAAACAGTAGTTTGACCCGAGGATTCTGCCCAAGCACTTTTTTTTCTGTTTTTTGCTTATTAATGGCCTCTTGTTGATGTTGGCTCCAAAGCTGCACTCACAAAATAAGTTCAACAGCTTTTGTAGTTTCATAAGAGCTGGATTCATCTGCAGGAAGCCTATGTAATGTAACTTTAATATATTTAAATATGTATTGTAATTCTTATTATATGTAAATTTGATGTTAAAAAATATGATTTTATTAAAAGCATTGTTCAAATGAGTGGTTTTTGTGGCTGTAATTTGTAGATTTTTTGTCATAGAAGAACTTTCTCCTCTGGACTCTGCAGAATTTAAAGTCATCTACAGACCTCCCCGTGCTCCAGTTAAGAAATTGAACCAAAACAGGAAAGGCCCACACTGATGAGAACTCCTTGGCTTGGTGACAGTTTATTTGTGCCTGGGGTCTTGGTGTGTTCACTACCAGACTAAAAGTAGAATTAAGCAGGAATTCAATATAAATGATGTACCAACATTCTCAGTTTTAAGGGTAAGATGAAGCTGATCGGACTGATCAGTGGTATTTCCAAAATCCCTTGAAAGGAGGTCATACTTTGCTTAAAACCTACATAAGCCCAAACGCTGCACTGATTTCAGCTTAGGACCAAAGACCTCTTTGATGTAGTCTCGAAGCATGCCGAAGGCTGTATCCATATTTCAGTCCACGCTCCATTATTACTTCAGAGGACGACCATTGACACTATTGCACGTAGTCTTCGAACAAGATGTAATTGGTCTGTTATCTCAGATAATGAATTTTGTTTGACACACAAACTGTTCATAGGAGAGACTGCTGATTCAGATCAACCTGTGCTGCTGAAAAGAACTGTTGTCATAAAGTTTCTTGGGAATAAGCAACATCTGAGAGAGAGCACAAAGATTCAGAAATATGATGCACATAATGTACAGTATCAAGACCAGTTGAGATAATGTTGCACTAAATTTAAATTATAGAACTTACAAAAACTCACTCAGCAAAAAAGGAGACTAAGACATTGTGCTACATAACATAAATGTATTTCATGCTACATAACATAAATGTTATGTAGCATGAAACATAAATTTCATGTTTTCATACATGAAAACATGAAATTCTACCATCAGCTTTCTAAACAAACTACTGCTTTTGAATACAGCTCTCTAAGTGTCCGGCTCTTGCTGCTGAGAGCACATGAGCTTTCCTGGCTCTTAAAGTTCTTGATTTTACAGGAAAAGCTTCATTTTGTCACCCTACTTTCCTAACAGGCCCAGCCAGTTTCAAACTCTGGACTAGAGTGACATCTAGTGGACAGTTAGAGAAGAAGCGGTTCATCTTGATTTTCTTGCTTACTGTAGCTGTGGGGTTAAGCAAAATGGGTTCAAGGTGTTTAGATGCAGTTGCATCAGCAGGACAACATCTTTGTCCTGTTAGACCCACATGTCCAAAATCAGATTTTTATTCTAACACCATAAAGAAGGATTGAGGAATGTGCCTAATTAGATGACACGATCCATTCTTCCATTTTCTTCTGCTATTGCAATTCAGGGCCAACACAGAACCATTCACACTAATTTTAAAATCACAAATTAACCTTAATTACAGTAACTGCATGTCTTTGGACTGTGGACCCTGGAGTACAAAGAATATGCTTACCACTCGGAAATGCTCTGGCTAGATGGTGGATTTGACCCAGGACGTTCTTGCTGTGAGGTAATAATGCTAAACACCGTGCTTTACTGGTGACTGGGTGGTAGGGTAATCATCTTTAATATAAGTACCCTAAATATTTGAACAAATATAACCACATTTTATGAAAAGAACAATATTTATTAATATTTGAAACACACTTAACTTGGGACACAGGAATGATTGTAGAAAAGTTTTCTTCAACAACTGCAATATACATGTATATTTTCAAAAGGTGACATCTCTGGCCCCTTTCTGGCCCCGGCACAGTTGACTACAACACTTTCTTCTGGATTAAGCATCTCATATTCTTTTATTCATCTCTTATTCTGTGTTTCTCTTCATCCACCAGGATTGATTTTCAGTATTGGAGGGCTGAAAATGGACTTTCCCACCCCGTTCATGAGTGAGGTATGAAAAACATATGAAGCTAATTTTGTTAAGCACAGTGTTATTGTGAATTGCCCCTACATAAAATGAACTCAATTGGGCTGAATTAAATTTCTTTAAAACATAACAATATTGTCCCCTTCAGAAAGCCAGCATGATTGTAGCTAAAAGAGCCTGGAAATCACCATCTCTCCCCTTGTTTAGGGTTTGGCTATGTCACAGGATTGCACGTTTGTGTATTGAAGAGGTTCGCTATCATCTGGCTGACACTTTTGAATTTGTTGAAATCTCTGACCCTTTCCTCAATCATATTAACAGTGATTCAACATAATCTGTAACTCATTTGACTGCACTTTGTGTTTATGTGAAACTACACCTCTGCCGGATACTGATTCCTTCCTGGACTTGTTCCCCATATCTTCTGGGCTCAGTGAACTCCCTGTCTAACTTCACACAGATTATTTTCTTTAGACTCTAGCATTTCTCTTGAACTTTTAATTTGGACTGACTAAGCAGTCTTTCTCTCTGCTTAGATGTTGTTGTTTTTTCACCCTTTGTCTCCTGTGATTTTATGGTAATTTGAAACATAAAATCTTATAACTAAACAGGGAGAACCATGAAAAAAGTGTTTTTTAAGAGTAATCTGGCAAAGAGCATAGCGGAAATTGCAACAATAAAGATGTTTTAGTTGGCCTAAAAGAAATAACGTGTTTTACCAAAATAAATAAGACATTACAGGCTCTGTAACGGATCCGCGAACCGGGTCCGGATCGGAGTCCACTTGCACAGCGAGTTTGGAACAGATCATGACTGGACCTGATTTGGATCGGTCATTTCCCAGCTCATCTAGCCCGGATTCCGCTGTTGATTATAAGCTAGAATGATGCCCGCTAATGTTTGGCTCGAGTGTCCTAAAATCACACTTTCCCTCTGAGAAACAGTTTCATTACACTTTAATACCGTATTTAAATGACCGTGGTCTTCCCTCATTCTCATATACGTCACAATTTCTTCACAGCAAAATCAAACAAATTAGTGACAGTGAATATGGAAATGAAATTTCTTCATTCACTGCAACACACCTTTGCACATGGGCTCGTGAGCGCATGTGTTGTGCTATATGAATTTGGACAATATGATGCGGTGTTTATAAAGGGACTGAGAAGGAAATAAGGTATTTAATTGAGAGCAAATTTGGTTTTAAAAAAAAAAAACAGAACTACACTCACACCTTTGCGCGTGCGCACATGAAGTGCTGCTCTTATGGAACGCGCGCGCGTCATATTCGATTTGTGCATGTATCTGTTTGTAACGTAACTGAAAAAGCTGCGGTTTGAAATTTTTCTTCTGCACCTAAATTTTCTGGTTCAGATGAGTTCAGTGAGAAGCGCTAAACGTCTAAATTTAGGGAAAAGCACACTTAGTGATTCAGTTTCTTCAACTTTCGTTTTAAGTGAAGGTAAGTGCAATCTTTAGACTAAAAATCAACAAGTACAAAAACAGAGTATGTTTTAGCTTCACATCTTACATTTAATATTTGTATTGAAATCAAATCTGAACATTTTAAAAATGATATCCAGTTGATTGTGTCAGAAAAGCACTTTTTAGTGCATTCTACTGTAAAGGTGATTTTATTGCTTACCTGTTAGACGCAGCTTGTCTGATAAATATTGATTTCCTTTTGTATATTAACTATAAAAACAAAGAGTTTTTCTTAAAGACCTTTTTATACAATTTTAGGCCAAAATTAACTATAATATCTATCTATCTATCTATAAACAATGGGTTTTTAGTTCTACTGTGAATGTCTCTAAAGACTTTTTGACAGGATTTTGGACCAAATTCATTTAGTTGCTTTAAGCTTTTCTTTACTGCTGTGGTGATTTCCTCTTTTTCTGAATTTTAAAAACTACATTGTGAACAAACAAACTGACATGTGAAAGAGATTTTGTTGCAAGAAAAGCAAGAAAATGTTGTGATCTGTTGCTATGATATGAATCATAACAATATGAGGCTATGTTTTTGAAGACACTAGAGACTAGTGACTAGTTAGAGACTCACTTAACCCCATGTTTCCCTTTCATTTTACAGCCATGTTGAGAAGAAGCCAAAGACTTCAGTCTAACGGCTATTACGGCAGCCAAGGAGAGCCGTTAATCTCCTACAAGGACACTTTATACAGGTTAGTGCTGGTCTACATGTTCTTTGTTGTCATCCACTGACATAGATGCATGTTTTGTAATCATAATCCATTTGTTCTTCCATGTACATTTTTTCTTACATGATTTTGTTTTTTCTATTCTGAATTTTTAAAAGGCGACAGCCTCGTCCCCGTCCAGTCCCTGACAATATTGACCGAGACACAGTTGAATACAACTACGATGACTGTGACACTGTGGACTACAACTACGATGACCGTGACACTGTGGACTACAACTACGATGACTGTGACACTGTGGACTACAACTACGATGACTGTGACACTGTGGACTACAACTACGATGACCGTGACACTGTGGACTACACCACTGATGATTTTGTTGACTACAGTAGTGGCAGCAGCAGAGGTCTCTTTAGAGCCATCAAGGCATTGGGACTTTTGGTCCTCATGCTGGCCTTGTGTTTTGGTAAATGATCTCCTTCCACAAACAATTACAGTCTTTCTAGTACTATGTGCTTTTCTTCTGGATTAAGCTTCTCTTCTTATTCTGTGTTTCTCTTCATCCACCAGGATTGATTTTCAGTATTGGAGGGCTGAAGATGGACTTTTCCACCCCGTTCATGAGTGAGGTATGAAAAACATATGAGGCTCATAATATATTCCCTGAAAATTAATCAGATAATGACAGTTTAATATTTTCATAAAGCTGTTACGTAAACGTAAATGGTCTCTTCTCAATTGTAGTACACGGTGAGCGGACATGAACGGGTGGACAGGCAGGTACAAGACATTCAGGATACCCGTGAGTACACTCTACCATTAGACACATGCACATAGACTTTTCTTACTATGCTATCTGTATATCCTCCCTCATAATAATCACAATATTCCTAAATTTACCATCCTGTCAAAAGTCAAAAAACTTTTGTCTGACCAACTCGTCTTTTTTTTGTCTCTCAGGACCACAGTGTAGATTTCATCCACTACGTCACGCTGCATCTGCTGAACAAGTGGTGCAATTGCGAGGATTCCTGTCTACGCAGCTTTCGAGTTCAAAGAAAGCTGGCACAACCAAATTCCCATGAAAGAATCTTTAAAAGAAAAGAGAGGAAAAATGTGAAAGTGAATCAGACTGCAACACATATTTAAATATTGTATCAGAAAAAAAATGTCCATTTAACCCATGTTTTTTTCTCCAGCGAACGTCCATCCTACCAGGTAAGACATGTCTGATTAAGATGTTTGCAGTCTGATTCACCTCACCCCCAACCAGCCGTGGCAGAGGGCTTGCCCCTCCCTGAGCCTGGCTCTGCCAGAGGTTTCTTCCTGTTAAAAGGGAGTTTTTCCTCTCCACTGTTGCCAAGTGCTTGCTCAAAGGGGATCATCTGATTGTTGGGGTTTTTCTTCTCTTATATTGTAGGGTTTTTACTCTACATATACAGTGCTTAACAAATTTATTACATCACCTGTCATAGAAATAAGAACACCCCAAATTTCTTAAACCTGTCATTCTTACATTAGGTGATGTTCGACTAACTTTGTTAAGCACTGTGTTATTGTGAATTGGCCCTCAATTGGAACTCATTTGGACTGAATTAAATTTCTTGTAAAACATAAAAATTCTCTAAATTGTCTCCACTGGAAATTTAGAGATATTTTTAAAACAACAAGAATAAAATTTTAAGAAAATATTTTTCATGTCTTTTGGTATTCTTAATTGTCAGAGTATATTAAACAAGCGTGACAACACTATGGCCAGAGGATTTCAATTTTGAAAATGAACATTTAAACTCCCAAAAGTAAAGAAAGTAAAGTCCATGTTGCATGTGCTGTGATATGAGAAGCCTTCACTGTGATGCAGGCTTTGAGGTTTAGCGAGGTAACTTCAGGTTTAACCATGTGTTTGTAGTTGGGACACCAGATAGACCAGGGGT